CATTTCTTAATGTTACTACATCAAAATTCAATTAATCAGTAGAATGACATACTTTTGAGATCTTCAATTTTTTCATACCACAGCTTTGCTTTTTTTTAAAGCAAGATTAACATCCATCTGGAACCAAAATCATTTGGTTCCTGCCTTCACACCCTACAGTTACCGTATTAATAACATGCTTTTCAATGTTCCTGATTTTGTTCTTAGGCAACCCTGAGCTATGTTAAGTACACCATTATAACTCAGCCTTGTGAATTTCATCAAGTGATAGGCACACAGTTCACTGCATGGTATTGGTTCTCTTAGGTTACAAATTTTCCACTTTCAGCTTTGTGTCCCTAAATAATGTTCAGAGTTCTCCTCTAACCCTTCCTCAACCCTGCCATTTCTCTCAGAATGTAGATACTGAAAAACATTTCCAGGCAGCTTAGAAACACCCTCTATCCACAGATGGACTCTTGCTACAATTACCAATAGTCTTCCACAAAAGATCTGTTCTCCTTGAATAAGACTATAGGACAAGAGGTGCACATTAAAATATGTGAACTGCAGTCTCCAGATTAATCCCAAAGCTTCAAGTAACAAATTGTATTTGTTACAGGTACATGTAGTACGATACAGACACAATAATCTGGCTTTATTATAGAACTTCTGCTTTTCAACAAACATCACGCACTGGTATCCCTTACCTGGTAGCTGAAATGGACTAGATGGCCCAGAACTAGCTGGAGAATTTGGATAAGTACTACTGGCTGGAGAAGGTGGATAAGGACTGTTTGGAGAAATTGGGAAAGGAGTACTGTTGGGCTGCTGGAACGAATCTGGAAATGTGGCATTCTGTGGCATGTGTGGTTCATTGTGGCTTAGATTTCTGAACTGAACCAGAAGGCTATGCTGTGGGTTGAATTCACTATGTCTTGGCACTAAGACTGGAGGTAGAACTGAAAAACAAGAGAACATAACCACACTTTTACCTACATACATTACTAGCTTTATAAGCAGAGAAGACAGAGAAATAAGCACATGCCAAAAGCAGACTTGTCATAGTGCACTGTATTTCATAGTCTTGAAAATCCAGTTATATGCACAACAGAAGTCTGGCACTGGAAGAAGGTGCTTCCAGACAGATGAATGGGTCTTAGGAAGCATGACCATCTAAGCACTTAAGAGTGAATTAAAACAAACTACACAGAAGGTTGCAGAATATTACATTGAAATATGTTGAATACATCCCCCGAACTACATTACAGAGATCTATACAGAATCAATTAGAAAAACCAAAATGGCAGTTTAGCATTTTTAAGAATAAAACCAATGGGATGTTTACTGCAACCCTCTATTATTAACAGTATTAGAAGTCCTGTTTCAAACAGCACAAAACTTAACAGAGAAAAGCAATGCAAAGTAAACATATGGCACCAATGTTTAAGACACACCAGACTTCAAAAAACACTGTAAACCACTTACGACCCAACTTCCTACTTTCACTACGCATCTTCTCTGCAAGTCACAAAATCAGATTACTACAAGCAGGATACCCACAAGGATTTATGGGAAGTATCTCATTTTCCCCTGTCCTACTACTACCCCCATAGCCTCTCCCCCTTTTGGTTTCCTTTTCTCCTTCCCACCCACCAGGCAACTTAGCTCTTAGCAACAACCCCCCATTTTTTCTTAAGACTTCAGATTTTTCTGCAAACTGTCTTGTCTGTTTATGGCTCTGATCTCTGGATTCGCATACCCACAGATGTGGCCACACTGAGGATTAAATGTATTGATATAACATTTTGGAGAAGATAGGGGGTGATGATAATATCATAATCCCATGTAAACACACCTGGGCTCTCCACCCTTTTGTAATGATAAGGATTGATACAGACTTCCTTCTGCTTGGATCCAAAAGGAAATTCACAAATGTCCAATGGCTTCAACTCATGATGACTCTGCAGATCAGGCCAACGCCATACACGACAATAAATAACATGGGGGAGACCTTTGCGGTGAGAAACTTGAAGTCGTCCATCTAATGACCGAGGTATAGTAACACATTTACTTGGTTGTCCAGGACTGCTCAGTGCTTTCTCTAGCTCTTCCATTGCTCCTTTTTTCTTTTTCAGTTTTTTAACCAAAGCATCAACTGCCTTTTCTGCCCATTTTTCTTCTTCATCTCCTTGCTTCCAGCCCAACAGACGCTTTACAGCTGGGCTAGTAAAAGAGAACAGACTGGCCATTGACGTCATTTGACAAGTCTTCAAGCAATTTTTAGAAATAAATTGCAGACTGGCAGGCAAAACTTTTTTAAAAATCCAAGGTAAATCTTCTTTTCAGTTAGGCCTGTTAAAAAAAAATCACAATTCATTAGTTATAGCCTTCTGGTTCTTGGTTTAGGATGATCAGTCATCCTCAATAATATGATGAACCACAATAGATCATTCAAAGCCCTCATCCACACACATATATACACTTTCCCCTCTGCAGTTTTAGAGGGGAGATATAAAGAGATTCCCATGAAGGAAAGGATTTGTCTGTGTGGCACTGAAGAGTCAGTCAAGCATGTATTATTCCACTGTCGCTTCTATTAGGAAGTTCGTTCGAATATAATTTCCCCTCTACTAATCAATTTTCTTGGATGTCCCAATGTTTATATTTTAAAGAAATTTTTAATGGGTGCTAATCAACAGGTTACCATTAGTTGTGCCACATTTTTTTCAATAACCTGTAGAATTCGTAGAGATATTTTATGTACAGATTTTAACTAATTGTTGCCAATAGATCAGACCAATTTTACTTTCTAATGACATTATTGTAAAGCTTTTATTCTTGACTTGTACTGGTCGTTGGCTAAATAAAGAACTGATTGATTGACACATATATACACTTTGCTTTGCCACATTCCCCACCTTGTTTGGTCTTAAAAAGGAATTAAAAGCTTCAAACATCACATGTGACCATGGTCAGGTCACCTTCTTCTAGGATATCACAGGAAGGTTCTTTTTATGGGTGGAAAGGTATGGTAGTGGGTAGGTTGTGAACTGTTTTTTAACTGTAACAATGTTTTGTGTGGAGTGATTTATATTTTTTGTACTGGTAAAGTGAATAAAAATACAGTTAAGTGATCTGCCCCAGTACCTTTTAACTGTCTCCTTTAGAAAACATCAGAACTGCAATTCTGTACTGGTGGTGGACATAGAGAGAAGGCAAAGTATACCAAAAGGTTTCTGTTGCTCTATGCTCATGTCTCTATAGACAGAGGCTGGGAGGGCAGTGCTGCTTGTCCACAGAACAAAGTTTGAGTCCAGTGGCACCTTTAAGATCAACAGAGTTGCTCTATTGCTTCAGAACATGACTACCCACCTGAATACTAACCACAGTTAACAAGCCAATAAACTAAAAAAGAAGAAGCCACAGTTGGTTTGGCAACCTGTAGTCAGATGTCACACTTGAAGTTTAATTACCTCATGGTTTATTAACTGTGGTTTACTGCAGTGTTCCCTCTAAGCTGAGTTAGTGTGAGCTAACTCAGTTTTTTAGCCTCTGGCTCACACATTTTTGTCTTAGTTCAAGAAGGATGGCTCCAGAGCAAACTCATTTATGCAGTAGCCAAATCGCTTGCTCCCAACTTTAATGCCAGTAGCTCACAAAGTAGAATTTTTGCTCACAAGACTCTACAGCTTAGACAGAGCATTGGTTTATTGTGATGTCTCAAAATGTTTCTCAGACCTTGTAAAGTGGATTATGACTCCAACAATTAGAATAAAGATTCATCGCAACAAATGAAACAAAACAGTATAATGGTCTTGTCTGTGCTCTGTAGCAAATGGTTTTCTTACAATGCAGTTAACAGTAACATACTGCACTTTTTATACTTAGTAGATGATCAGATCTTTTTTAAAAAATAAAAAGGAGTAATGATGACAAGCGGAACTGGTGTGCGGTGGAAAAATGTTGATAAGACCTCATAAAAATCCCTGAAGAATACTCAACAAATACAGACAGACAATAGGCAGCCGGCAAAAAGCAAGCACTAAACAAAGAAAGAGGATGTCAATAACAAAGTCACTTCCGCTCTTGCTACAAAATATTGTCTTTTTAAGTTTAAGATAAATTCTGGAAAGTAATAATGGCTGCTGAGGCAGGAACACAGTTTCAGTCCATCAAGCTTCTGTAACTAAATAACAACAAAATTAAGGTGTTTTCTTGGTTGCTTCTGGAAAAAAAGCCAAAAACCTGCTGCCTCCAGGTGCCCCAATGTTGACAATGAGCATGCATAGTCTAGACACAACAGCTACATGTTTTCCTATCCGAGATAACAGTCAAATGCCTGCTGCATTTGCACCCAATTCCACAACCAAAGGCAATCTGTGCAGCAAGACTTTTACAGGAATGGCATCAAGGTGCTGCATTGTGCATATTACTTTTCCTTAACATAGGGCAGGGGTCCCCAACACGGTTCCTGTGTGTGCCATGATGGCCTTTTCTGGTGCCCACCATTATTTCTGGAAAGTGGATGGAGCCAGATAGGGCTTTTTTCCAGTAAGGCTTCTGATTGGCAGCAGTTGCCACCATAGTACAAGGATCTTCACTTTGTGACAGAAGGTAAGCTGCAGAAGCCATTCTGTGGCTGGCTGTACCTCCTGGAGCAGCCAATATGTGGCAGTACTGGATATTTCCACCCTCCTCTCATACTTATTTTAAAACAAAGTTTCAATTAAATGAAATGGGGGGCCCAACGTTTTCAGTATTGTAAAGAAGACAAGAAAACTTGGGTAATGATAGAACTGCTCAGGCTCACTAATATGTACATAACTGAAATACCATGGAGAGTGATATTAGTTACCACCTTCAAGGCTCTGAGGAACCAGGAACTCTAGGGGAACCTCCTTGAAACCAATCCTGGGGGATTCCATAAATATCTATACTCTGGACTTTATCTGGAGTATGTGCATATGTATTCTGGATGCAGCCAATGCCAGGAGGAGGGAAATCAGAGTGGGTAAACTCTGTATTGTCATCTTCCTCCAGTTTTTCTCATATTTACTTTAAATTCTCCCAGATTTTTTGGTGCAGCTGCTGCCACAGCAAAATTGTTTCAAGAATAAATACAATCATAATGCAGACAAACCAAACCAAGCAGTGAGCTCAGGCATCTATTAGTTACCCTTTAAGCTGTGAGTACTGTCAGGATGACACTGGAGAAAGCTCAAGATTGGCTCTTCCTCTTCAGCCAATCCCATAATCGTACCATTACCTGTCTATCGTCTCACAGCCTTTATGAACCTTGAAGCTGGCTAAAGACACAGGATAAGATAGGTGAAGAACAAGGAAAGGAAGGAATGGGAAAGGTGTCAAAAGAAGAGCTGAAACAAAGGTAACATGAACAGGAAAAAGGAGGACAAAGAAGAATCAATCCTGAAAAGGGATAAGGAAGGAGTGTGGCTTTCCAGGAAGTCAGACAACAAGCAGACACCAGGAGCACCACAATGACAACCACTATCAGTTGGTGGAAAATGGCAATTAGTCTTCTATGATGGACCCCATCACTGTCCCCACACTGGCACGAACTTTCCCACCAAAATTATTTGGTTCCCTGCTGTGACTGAGCAGCCCTTGGTAGTGTGTAAATAATAGGTTTTTGAAAGAATTTCTGTCCCACCCTGTCCCACACAACACAATTCAGCTTTTGGCTCAGCCCAAGGAACTTGCTGTGGAAAAGCAGGAGCCCTCTTTTTATTTTCCTTCTGAAATGGCACTGGAGACCAGTGTTCCCTCTAAACTGAGTTAGTGTGAGCTAGCTCAGTGTTTTTTAGCCTCTGTCTGGCTCACACATTTTTGTCTTAGCTCAGGAAGGATAACTCCAGCGCAAACTAATTTATGCAGTAGCCAAATTGCTTGCTCACAACTTTAATGCCAGTAGCTCACAAAGAAGAATTTTTGCTCACAAGACTCCACAGCTTAGAGGGAGCATTGCTGGAGATGGTTTAACAGTAAAACAAAAGAACAAGTTTATTCAACAGGCAGGGATTGAATAGGTGAGTCAGGGATTGCTGAGGTATAAATCGTTGACAATACAGAATTCACTTCTCTGAGCAGGCAAAATGATGTTATTAAATCTTATTTTCAGTTACTCTTAGTTCTTAGTTGTATGAGCGGTTTTACTTAGTATTTTAATTACAGCAACGATGTTTTGTCAGAGAGCTTTCTATGGCAGTTCAGGTTTCCTGGAGTTGATCACTGACTTTGTGAACCTAACTCACTCCTTGGTTAAATTACAGTTTATTTCTATTTCCTGAGTTGTTTAAAACCATTTTCCCTTACCACAGACTAGGGTTCTCCTCAGAACTAAACCCTCAGAGATACTGGACAGGGATTAATCTTCTCCTCCTCAGAGGAACTACTCCTGTTCCTTTTTGGCTTGAAAGGGTGTTTCCACACGCTAGCCCAATCACTCTTGCTAAATCTCTCTCCCAGTTTTGGTGTCTGTATAAAGCAGACTTCAGCTTATGTTAACACCTAGGCTTTGAATTCTTATAGTGAATTCTTCCTCAGGTTAGGAATACTACAGGTAAGACAAGGAGTCTTACTTTCACTCCACAGGTGAACCTGTCTGACTTTACTTTGTCAGACAAACTGACACCAAAACTCTGTCATAAACCAACTGACTGCCTTCAAAATGGTTCCAACTTTAAACTGTAATCTCCAGACTGATAACTGACTCCCCTCAGCACTCAGCTGATCATGTATTTTCCTCCTTTGGCACTGGCCAATCAGAGAAGGGGAGCGGCCTGTCACTCAAGCTGTCCCGTCCAGAGAAAAGTTATCTCCTGGTTCTCTGATTTAGCTGCACTGTGAAACTTGCTTTTAAGTGCAGTCCATCACATCTTCCTTTAGATGTTCTCTTCTCTATCACTCAACAGACCCTCAGAGGCAGCACCATCACAACTCAAAAAACACTATTTTCATCTGTGAACAGGACTGTCAACTTTGGATTTCAAAAATCTAGCCTGTTGGCCTACTGCCTCTCAAAGTATGCAGAGTCATTTCCAAAGGAACAAAGTTAAACACAATAAGGAAAAACTATCCCTGGACTTGAACAAACCTTTGCTTTGTGAAGAGAATGTTCCCTTGTCAGTCTGACTGTTCACACAATGGAATTTGTGCCTTGCCTTCAGCCTGGCTTCCAAGGGGGCAGGAGCAGGCTTCACAGAACTCTTGAGATGTTAGAGCAGCCATCCAGTCAGTCTGTCAACTGAACGGAAACCTGAGGTCCGTAACACTGGCTTGGTTACAGCAAAATGATGGCCAAGACCCAAACTATATTTGCAGTCTCACCACAT